TAATGATTGCCAACCATTAGCAGTTAGCCAAGCAGGGGATGCTAATTTAATTCGCCAATGACTAAAGAAACTATATAAATAGTACAGAAACAGAAACAAGGCGACGGTGAAAACCTGCTCATTCCTTTTTTTCTGCACAGCACAGGTGTGTCATGAGCTGGCAGCTAGCGGCTAATGGCTAGCAACTACCTGCTAGCGGCTAACAGCTATCTGATAATGCTTAGTGGCCACCTTGCAGCACTGTATTATTATTATTAATAATAATGATAACAAGGATGTTAAATGTTCTGCTTGATAAGAGCCTTAAATTAAATAAATTAAATTGAATTAAATGAAGTTAAAGCCTCTCAGCCGCTTCTAAACAAGCAAACACGTGTTCAAACATCAGTAAATGACTGTAATGTTTCCTGAAATGACAGAAGCTGATTTGTTGTTGTTGGTTTTCATCACATGTGGCTCCGTCTGGGTTTAGCTGCTTCAGATGGTTTAACCGAGTCCAGCTGGATTGAATTTTCTCTCATAACTGAATCTAAATGTTGATCTCATGACGGTCTGAGTGCAGGAGATGCATCCGTGAAGCTCAGCACCAGATTCACACGTTTATGTACCTCAGTAATCTGAGCAAACACCGAATGTGGACAATTGGAGAAACAATGTTCTCAGTCTGAAGGAGGAACAGAGCTCCGAGCAGGGGACTACTTTCTGCGGCGGATGGACACATGTCTGGTGCTTCAGCAGCACATGTGGCAGCAGCGGGATGACTGTGAGTCCACATCAGTGTTTATGGTGACTGAACATCCAGGTGGTCCTCGGAGAGACCGTTATCTACTGTGTGTGTGTGTGTGTGTGTGTGTGTGTGTGTGTTTCCTCATGCTGTGGATGCTGATGTCTTTTAGCACAGCGACCCCTTGTGGACGTGTGAGGAACATGCAGGAACAGGAGGAAAGATGTGAAAATAAAAACATTTAAACTTCAGAAATGAGCTCATAGACGTGATTTTTGATGAACGTGTGCAGGAATGAGCAACGTTAGCATGCTAATGAAACAAGCTGTGGCGGTGAGGAGCAGAAGAACCGGCGTAGAGATGCTGTGAAGGTCAGAAGATAACCGTTCAACTGACAGCAGACATCTGGTTAAAACAGCCTGATCGTGGTGGAAAAGACCGAGTCAGCGTTTGATGTGGACATCAGTCTCTATGTAAACTCCTTTTTACTACATTTGCTGCTGTATCAGCTGTACGTGGAGAAAACAGGCAGAATGTGACCGACAGCAGCCACAAAGGTTTCTATCAGGTACCAGCAGATATCTGGAGAATCCTACATTTATAGAAAGAATATCCATTCATAAAATAGACTTCTGACATAGTTACACATTTGGCATCTTATATTATAAATTCATACTTTATTCAGTAAGTGTACCAGTTATTACCAATAAATTACACAAAATAGAAGAAAAAAATGAATTAACAGTTCACTGTTCAAATAAAACTGGTTTAATAAAAACAGTTTTATTTTTTCAGTGCCTACAGCGTGAGCCGTGATGAACCAGTTCACCGACCAGTGAATTCATGACTCATCAGTCTGAGTCTTTTCTACTTCATCCAGTCTGGTTGCAGCGTCTTAAATGTGGATATCTTCTGGTTTCTCTGCTCTGTGACAGTAAACTGAACACTTTTGGGCAGAACAACTGATCCACATTTTCCCCTTTTCACAGAACAGCCGATCGATTGATCCAGACAACAGATTGTCATCAATAACCAGACTCCATTCAGAAAAGGTTTGATTTAAAGAGAGAGCAGATTGTTGTGAAGAAAACCAGACATCTGGTGTAAATAAAAAAGTTACTGATGCTAATAAATGAGATCAAATGAACATCGTTGTTGTTGTTTTGTGGTTATTTGTGTCACAATCCAAACAAAAAGTGATTATTTGGAAGATTAAGTAGCAGATTAGTGGTGTCACACAATAACCAAGGAGACGGTCACCAGGGAGATGGTCACCAGGGAGACGGTCACAAGGAGGACGGTCACCAAGGAGATGATCACCAAGGAGACGGTCACCAAGGAGACGGTCACCAGTGAGACGGTCACCAGGGAGACGGTCACCAAGGAGACGGTCACCAAGGAGGACGGTCACCAAGGAGACGGTCACCAAGGAGGACGGTCACCAAGGAGATGATCACCAGGACGGTGACGTCGGTGCTGGAGCAGACCCGAGATCAGCGGAGCAAAGAAAACAAGTCTGGTTTAAAACAGGTCGAGTCTTTATTGAAATGATCCGACTGAAACAAACACAAAGCGTCACGTTAAACCAGCTTCACTGCATGTGTTCCTCTGAGCTTCATAGACTGAGACGTCTTCAGCAAACACACGATCGATCAATACTGATCAACACTGATCAACACTGATCGATACTGATCAATACTGATCAACACCAACCATCAGTCAGCGTCACAAAACTCAACACAGTGTAAATAAACACGATGTGGACGAAGTCTGAAGGTGGAAGATCCAAAATAAATCCACTTCTATCAACGGTTCTGTCTTTGGTTTGTGTCGCGTTGAGCTCCAACGTTTCATCAACGTTTCATCAGATGATCAGAGCAGATGTTGGTGACTGATGGTCGACATGAACACAGCGGTAATGACGATCAGTGTGGGCGTCATGGACGGCAGCCGTCGGCTCAGAGGATCCTTCTGTTCCACCGAGAGCCTCCTGAAAGCTTCTAGACTGTACAGCAGACGGAAACAACACGGACTCTAAAAACACTTTGACCTGAGAGTGAACAGCTGGAACAGGTGCAGTGTTCAGATCACTGATGCTCTTCAGGTTGGCTTGAAATGATCATTGAGAAGGTGAATAAAGTTCTTCAGACGCCCGAGAACAAAGAGGAGCGTCTCTTACTGTGGTCATTGTTCAAGTTGTTGTGAGTATTCTACATCTTCTAGTGTCACTCTGTGGTTATTGTAGTCATGTTTTGTAGCTTTGTGTCTTTTTGTAGTCATGTTTTGTAGCTTTGTGTCTTTTTGTAGTCATGTTTTGTAGCTTTGT